AGGAAGTAGGAGCCGTCGGAGTCCAGCACGGGCGGGGTGGTCTTGTAGGTGTTCTCCGGCTGCCCGCTGCTCTCCCACTCCACGGCAATGTCGCTGGGGTAGAAGCCTGTGACCAGGCAGGTCAGGCTGACCTGGTTCTTGGTCAGCTCCTCCCGGGACGGGGGCAGGGTGTACACCTGCGGCTCTCGGGGCTGCCCTGTAGGGACAGAGGTTGACACAGCGGTCACTCCCAGGGTAGAGGGTGGGCCGAGCCGGCCTCTGTCCACGTGGCCCTCGCGCCCCGCGGGTCCCACCTTTGGCTTTGGAGATGGTTTTCTGGATGGGGGCTGGGAGGCCTTTGTTGGAGACCTTGCACGTGTACTCCTTGCCGTTCAGCCAGTCGTGGTGCGTGACGGTGAGGACGCTGACCACGCGGTACGTGCTGTTGAACTGCCTCTCCCGCGGCTTCGTCTGGGCATGATGCACCTCCACGCCGTCCACGTACCAGTTGAACTGGACCTCGGGGTCTTCCTGGCTCACGTCTACCACCACGCATGTGACCTCAGGGGTCCGGGAGATCATGAGGGTGTCCTTGGGTTTTGGGGGGAAGAGGAAGACAGACGGTCCCCCCAGGAGTTCAGGTGCTGAGGAAGAGATGGAGGTGGATGCGTCAGCACCCGGGCAGGGCCTGTCCCTGGACACAGGCCACTCTAGGGCACTTGTCCCACCTTGAGCTGGAGGGCGAGGCCTGGGCTGGCTTACCTGGGCACGGTAGGCATGGGGGAATTGGGTCATCGCATGAGGGTGTGAACTCTGCAGAGAGAAGATTGGGAGTTACTGGGATCTGGGAGGAGAGAAGGTTTCCGAGCTGAGGGAGTGGAGTTTGGCCTTTGGGATGGGCTTAGGTCAGGGTCAGTGTCCTCCCAGATATGGCTCTTGACAGGTCTGAGCCCAGCACCTGCCCCTGTGTGTGCAGAGCCTGTGGCTGCCCAGAGCCTGGTGGAAAAAGCCAGAAGACCGAGTCTCTCTGAGCATGAGTGGGGTGGGCAGAGGCCTCTGGGTGAGGAGACAGACGGGGCCTGCCCTGCTGCCCTGGGCTGGGGCTGCACAGCCAGAGTTTGTCCAGGCAGGAGGGCCGAGCCTGGCTTCCAGCAGACACCCTCCCTCCCTCGCTGGCCTCTCACCAACTCTCTTGTCCACCCTGGTGTTGCTGGGCTCATGAACGACGTTGCAGACGTAGGTCTGGGTGCCCAAGCTGCTGGAGGGCACGGTCACCACGCTGCTGAGGGAGTAGAGCCCTGAGGACTGTAGGACCTGTCTCTTATACACATCTAGATGTGTATAAGAGACAGGCCTCTAGCTTGGCCTTGGCTCTGGCCATCGGTGCCACCTCAGGAACGGCTCATGCCCGTCGGCCCCACTCCAGCCTTTTGTGGGTGCCTGGCTTGACCAGTGGCCACTGTTCTCAGAGGGCTTCTTGTGGGTCCCCCGAAGCCCCCTGAAGCCCCTGACCCTGCTGCCTCAGCGTGGTCCTCCCCTAATGAGTGGGCCTGACTTGCCCAGGGCCCTGGTCATAGCCTGCCCTCTGCCCTCCAGGGCCCTGTTTTTCTGTGCAGCAGAGGGGCCAGACACTGCATAGGGTCGGCACCCTCAGCCCCAGGGCCCTGGAACCTCCTGCCTTGGAATAGCCCCCGGGAGCCCCCTCCTCAGTGTCTCCCCCCTTTCCCCTTAGCGCCAGTGTGCACCAGCCCAGGTCAGGGCCCTGAGTGCATCGATGCCCCCTGCCTCCCCAGTGTCCTGCAGTACTTCCGGAGGCTGAGTCACCACACCCTCACCCTCCCAGCCCTGGCCTGGCCTTCTCGGCCACCAGCTCACCTCCTCCTTCTCCAGAGCTTCCCCTGGCAAGGTCCCTGCTGGGCTCAGCCCAGGCCCCCCGGCACAGGTAGGAGCCTTGCAGCTGCCCTTGGCCCTCCCCACCCTGCATGGCGCCAGGACCCTCAGGCCACAGGGAGGCCCCATTTCTCTCTGCCGCTGGCCCAGTGGCCCTGGTGTCCCATGGCAGGTCGGGTGTGCCCTGACCTCTGAGGAAGCTAAGTGCCCTGCCCCCAGCCAGGCCATCCCCTCTGCTCAGCCCCAGGGCCCTGCTCACTACCCCTTCCCCTCACCTGCACCACAGGCTCTGGCCGACTCTGCCCAGGCCCTGAACAGGCCCTTTTGGCTCCCCTGTGCTGGTACACTGCCCTGCACCACCTCCACTCAGCTTCACTGTGCTGGTGGCCCTGGCCCCTGGCAGCCCGTCTTGTTCCTTCTGGAGCGCCAGCCTCAGAGGCCGTCCTGCCCAGAGTCCACTGGGGCCAGCTCTGGTCTCAGCACACGTTCCCCTGCATCCAGACCTGCCCCTGCCTGTGAGCTGAGCCCTGAGCCCTGGAATGCCTTCCCTTCTCCATCCCAGCTCGCCCTTGCCAACTGCTCAGTGGGATGGGCTCACACCCGCTTCCCTGCACCAGGAGGCTGCACTGTGCTTTCACCAGCCCTCAGCTGTCGGCTGCCAGCAACTGCCCAGCTCCTGCCAAAGTGTAGAAGCTGAGTGCTGCCTCCCACCGGCCTGCTCACCTGTGGCTGCTGTGCCCTGAGCTCTGCTGCCTGTCCCCTGCTTGTCCTGCCTCCCAACGGCCCTGCTCACCTGCAGCGGGTCTGCCCTTGTCCCCAGAGCTCCAGGAGCTGCCGCCTGCTCCTCCTGCCCCTGACCTGCCCCTGTTCAGCTGCATCTGCTCTGCCCTGGTCTCTTGAGCTCCAAGAGCTGCCCCTTGCTCATTCTGCCTCCCACCTGCCCTTCCTCACCTGCGGCTGCTCTGCCCTGGTCCTCTGAGCTCCAGGGGCTGCCCACCTCCTCCCCCTGCTTCTCACCGGCCCTGCTCACCTGCAGCTGCTCCGCCCTGGCTCGCTGAGGCTGAGCCTCAGTTCTGCTCACCTGATACTCTCCCCTTGCCCCCTGAGCTCCAGGAACCAACCCCTACTTGTTCTACCTCCCACCAGGACCTGCTCACCTGCGGCTGCTCTGCCTGGTCCCCTGAGTTCCGGGGCCTTCCCCCTGCTCATCCTGCCTGCCACTGGCCCCTGTTCACCTTCAGATGCCCTCCCCTGCTCCCCTGAGCTCCAGAAGCTGTCCCCTGCTCCTCCTGTCTCCCACCTGCTCTGCTCACCTGAGGCTGCTCTGTCCTGATTCCCTGAGCTCCAGGGGCTGCCCCCTGCTCATCTTGCCTCTCACCAGCCCTTGCTCACCTGCAGCTGCTGTGCCCTGCTCACCTGAGCTCCAGGGGCTGCCCCTGCTTGCCCATCTTCCACTGAACCCTTCTCATCTGCAACTGCTCTGCCCTGGTTCCCTGAGCTCCAGGGGCTGCCCCCTGCGCGTCCTGCCTCCCACCTGCCCCTGCTCACCTTCAGATGCCCTCCCCTAGTCCCCTGAGCTCCAGGTGCTGCCTCCTGCTCCTCCTGCCTCCCACCAGCCCCTGCTCACCTGCGGCTGCTCTGCCCTGGTTCCCTGATCTCCAGGAGCCGCTCCCTGCTTGCCCATCTCCCACCGAACCCTTCTCATCTGCGACTGCTCTGCCCTGGCTCTATGAGCTCCAGGGGCTTCCACCTGCACATCCTGTCCCCCCACCGGCCCCTGTTCACCTTCAGATGCTCTGTCCTGGTCTCCTGAGCTCCAGAAGCTGCCTCCTGCTCCTCCTGCCCCCACCTGCCCTGTGCACCTGTGGCTGCTCGACCAACTGCTCAGTGGGATGGGCTTACACCCCCTTCCCTGCACCAGGAGGCTGCACTGTGCTTTCACCAGCCCTCAGCTGTCAGCTGCCAGCAACTGCCTAGATCCTACCAAAGTGTAGGGGCTGAGTGCTGCCTCCCACTGGCCTGCTCACCTGTGGCTGCTGTGCCCTGGGCTCTAGTGTCTGTCCCCTGCTTGTCCTGCCTCCCACCGGCCCTGCTCATCTGCAGCGGGTCTGCCCTTGTCCCTAGAGCTCCAGGAGCTGCCGCCTGCTCCTCCTGCCCCCGACCTGCACCTGTTCACCTACGGCTGCTCTGCCCTGGTCCTCTGAGCTCCAGTGCCTGTCCCTTGCTCCTCCTGCCCCTGCTCACGTGTGGGTGATCTGCCTTGTCTCTCTGATCTCCAGGGGCTGCCCACCTGCTGCCCCTGCTTCCCACCGGCCCTGCTCACCTGCCGCTGCTCTGTCCTGGCTTCCTGAGGCTGAGCCTCAGTCCTGCTCACCTTCCGATGCTCTTGCCTTGTCCCCTGAGCTCCCGGGGCTGCCCCCTGCTCATTCTGCCTCCTACCTACCCCTCCTCACCTGAGACTGCTGTGCCCTGGTGCTCTGAGCTCCAGGGGCTGCCCCCTGCTCTTCCTGCCTCCCACCAGACCCTGGTCACCTGCAGATGATCTGTCCTGGTCCCCTGAGCTCCAGGGGCTGCCCCCTGCTCGTCCTGCCTCCCACTGGCCCCGTTCATCTTCAGATGCTCTCCCCTGGTCCCCTGAGCTCCAGGAGATGGCCCTGTTCCTCCTGTCTCCCACCTGCCCTGCCCACCTGAGGCTGCTGTGCCCTGGTCCCCTGAGCTCTAGGGGCTGCCCCCTCCTTGTCCTACCTCCCACTTGGCCCTCCTCACCTGCGGCTGCCCTCCACTGGTCCCCTGAGCTCCAGAAGATGCCCCTTGCTCCTCCTGTATCCCACCTGCCCTGCTCACCTGAGGCTACTCGGCCCCAGCTCCCTGAGCTCCTGGAGCTGACCCCTGCGTGTCCTGCCTCCCACCAGCCCCTGTTCACCTGAGGCTGCTCTGCCCTGGTTCTCTGAGCTCCAGGGGCTGCTCCCTGCTTGCCCATCTCCCACTGAGCCCTTCTCACCTGCGATGGCTCTGCCCTGGCTCTATGAGCTCCAGGGGCTTCCCCCTGCTCATCCTGTCCCCCCACTGGCCCCTGTCATCTGCAGCTGCTCGGTCCTGGTCCCCTGGGCTCCAGGAGCTGCCCCCAGCTCCTCCTGCCCCCACCAGCCCCTGCTCACCTGCGGCTGCTCGGTCCTGGTGCCCTGAGCTCCGATACCTGCCCCCTGCTCATTCTACCCTCCCTCAACCCGGGGCAGCAACGTCACTCAGGCCACTGTTGCCCCCTGCCTGTCCTGGCACCCTCTGTCCAGGTTTGGGCTCTTTTTTCTGGCCTTATTTTTGTTTTTGTGGCACTTGGCTTGTTCCCTACGCTGTGGAGCACCCTGTGTCCAGTCAGGTCTCCCCAGCGGAGCCCCTTGCTCTTGCCCATGGCCCCCTCCTGGATGAGCTCTTGGATCCTCCCGTCCCGGCACTGCTCCTGCTCTGGAAGCCTCTCCTGAACCTCAGCTCCTCAGTGGCCTCTGCTCTGCTGGGTCAGCTCCCGGAACCCACAGAGCCTCAGCCCCTTCCCTCGCCCCAGGCCTGCTGTGCTCTGGG